CCGGAAATAGGCTTTAATCAAGATACTTGGAAATCTCTTGGAATTGAGGAACAGTCTCGCTTTTTGACGGACTTCTTTCGGAAACATCTCCCCAGCATACACGAATTACAGTTTTCTCCTAAGAAGCCTTGGATCACCCAGCGGACGCTTGATGTAATAGCGGAAATGCACTCCCGCACGGACCTGACTCTCCAAGAAGTCCAGCAACTCCGCAAACAGATGAAAAATCCCGCGAGGAAAGATAAGAAACAGTTCATTGCTACGGCGCTCCGACATGATTTCCATGGCTCTAGCATTGATCAATGGAAACAAGTTAGACAATTACGTAGTTCTGTTCGCCCCCATAATACCAACCTCATCAATAAGGATAAGAAATTAGTCTCGAAGGAAGAGAGGCCTCAGGCATTTGTTGAATACTTGTCGGACATAGTTTGGAAAGCTCCGCCCAGATTGTCCCCATCTCAAATATTGACACTCCCGTCAAGGCTGGATCTAGCCACCCATTCACAATGGAAGAACTTAACCTGGTTCTCCGCAAAATTGGTATCCGAAAAGCTCCAGGCCCGGACAAACTTCCGGCTGAGCTCCTGAAGACGTCTCCGTACATACTCAAATTTTTCTTCCTCTCCCATTTTAACACTTGTTTTGAGACAGGTACTGCTCCCTCTAGCTGGCTAGTCTCCGAAGTGGTTATGTTGATTAAGGACCAGAAAAAGGATGCAAGATCATTGGATATATAACTATAGGCCCATTTCTCTTACAAATACCATCTACAAAGTATATGCCTCGTTGCTCCAGAGAAGATTGGTTTATCATTCTGATTCTGACATTAGAGATCGGCAATTTGGATTTAGGCCTAACCGCTCCGAGCTCCACCACACAACCAATACATATTATGCGGCGCATCATTGAGGCGCATTAACGCCAATCAGAACCTCTGCGTGCTCTATTTCTTGACTGGAGCAAGGCTTTTGATTCTGTCACTTTTACAGCCATTGAAAAATCTCTACATTTTATGGGAGTTCCAGGCCCATTTATTCGTGCAATTATGGCTCTTTACAATAACCCGAAGTTTACAGTTAGGGATTCAGGGAATGTCGTCAACGAACACACACAAACCAGAGGCCTCCGACAGGGTTGCCCGCTTTCTCCTTACCTTTTTGGTTTTGTTCTTTCTCACCTTTTTAAGGACGTGGAAGAAGCATACCGTCTCCAGTTCGGGGAAATCCCAGGTATATTTCAAGCTAATGGACCTCTATGGGACCTCGAGTGTGCAGATGACACGGTTCTCCTAGGAAACTCCTCCTGTCATATGAATAGACTCTTACATTTAGTGCAACACTGTGGCAAAACTAGAGGACTCAAACTCAATGAGGAAAAATGTCAACATCTTCGTCTTAACTCCGATAACCACATTTTTCACTCCCCGTCCTCCAACCTGGTATGCAGATGTCCTCTATGCAGTTCCCATCTCTGACGAGATCAAATACTTAGGGGTTTTCTTGGACTCGACAAATGCCAACTCCAAGAATACACGGAATAGAGTTTCTAAGGACATTACGGCCTCCAAGCTGCTTCTTAAACCACTAATGGCACATGGATCTCTCCTCCCTAGTTGGAAGTTGCAGGTTTATCGCTCCATAGTTTAGTCAATTTTGATGTATGCGACGGATAGTGTACTCCTTGTCCCTCCTCAAGTCATTAGGATGAACGCTGTTCACCATAAAGTTATGCGCAGAATTTTTGGTTTCAAATCTTCCTATTATCATCGGGTTCTGGCTCCTACCGACGCCCCATGCTCAAATGAATTCTTAGCGGATACTTCATTTCGCGCAGGTAGGATATTTACCCCCAGCCAACTCTACTTTCAGTGTAGATTGCAGCTGTTAGGCCACATTATGAGACACCCGGAATCTTTGGAGTATCAGGCCACCTTTATCAATTCCGGAGCGTATCGCTTTACGAGAGGCTCCAATCGAACTGGACGACCTAAGGTACATTGGGCGGAGTCGAGCCTGATGGAAGCGACGATGCGGTTGGAAAACCTCCAATCTGATGCTGCTCCTGCCCATGGAGATACACATCGTTCTTTTTACCAGATACCTTCCTGTGATCAAAAGAATTTCGCACGGCTCTCAAAGCGTAGTTTGGATGGACAACACTCTACTTCACCGTAAAGTACGTAACGACGCTCAAGATAGAAGGCAGTGGGCTAAGCTTATCAATAAACTTCAAAAGCCACGTTGTAGAAGGCGCTGAGAAGCGGTCGGTGCTGATGGGCTAAGACAGTTGGCCCTTCGTTTTCCAACAAAAACGGTGCCCTGGTGGCGTACTTGACGTACCAACTTGCGCAGGAAAGGGTGGTCAGCTAAGTGCTCCTCATGAAGGAGCCACATTGCTGCGTGATGCCCTTTCCACCTGAGCAGCAGGCTGAGTTGCGCAACCACTCGCTGAGTACGAGGGGAGCCGAGTATGTTGGTAAACAACACCCGGCAACTGCGTAGCCTGTATCCATGGGCAGCGTAAGACAACCTTGGACATCGCTGCTTCAAGTTGTATTTGCTTTTCGTGAAAGGTAACTAGGGATCGCGCGTAGAACCCACAGTTATGCGTATAACTGCTGAAGAAGAGGGTTCTTTGGGGCACGAACAATAGAGGGTGATAGCGGCTCTAAATCTGCTACCCCCCGGGCCTGGCACACTCTTCTGGGCGAGGGCTCTTCATGGGAAAGGTGTGGACCCCGGGCGGCGGCACTAAGGGCCACGTGCCCGAAGAGCACCCCCTTTCTCCCCCCTCCCTTCTGCTAGGGCTGCAAGGGCGACAGTGCCTATTTGTGGAATGCTCCGCGTCTGCATCCTTCGTTTCTGCTCCTCTTGCAATGGCACGGTGTTCTGGAGTTATTGGTCGCGCTTCATACGCCATGGTCATGTGTGCATTATCGGGCCGGTGGTGTGTTGAGCTGAGCTGTTGAGCTCCCTACACAATTGGCCATCGGATCTTGCGTGTTGGCTATGCTTGCTACATTGCTTCTTGTGACGATCTGAGAAACAGGTTGGGTGTGCCTGCTACATTGATCGATGGAGTTATGAGTTATTGGGCTGATTATGCGTGGAGTTTTGAGCTCTCTCCGCAATTGGCCGTCGGATCTAGCATGTTGGCTATGCTTTCTACATTGCTTCTTGTGACGATATGAGAAGCAGGTTGGGTGTGCCTGCTACATTGATCGATGGAGTTATGAGTTATTGGGCTGATTATGCGTGGAGTCTTTGAGCTCCCTCCGCAATTGGCCGTCGGATCTAGCATGTTGGCTATGCTTGCTACATTGCTTGTTGTGACCATATGAGGTCCTGATCGGGTGTCTTGGATGCGTTCGGGAATCTTGTGTTTTGGCCGCTGCCGGCTGCTGGTAGCCGCACGGTGCTAGCCCTAGGCGCTGGTGCATGCGCGTACCCTCTGCGCTTGGCTCACGGTTTTTGTGTTTGGGTTGGGCCCTCTGTGCTTGGAGTTTTGCTCCTCAGCACTGGCCCACCTAGTCCAAAAGCTGGAGTCTTGTATATGGTGGATGCTTGAAGTTGGTGGGCTCTCTATGCGTAAAATTCGCATTGCCTCTTTACATCTGTTCGTGCTCTCGATGCGTTCCTCAGGCTGCCATGTGATGAGCTGTTGCGCAATGTTTGCTCGATTTTGCGTGATTCCCAACTTGATGGTGTTTGTTGGCGATCCTTGTCTGCACTAGCTGCCACTAGCTAGTTCTCCCACTTGAGCGATGGAGGTGGGGATGACGCCTGCGGAGCCCCCCTGAGAAGTTGAGAGGGACGTGGGAGGCAGGCCGCACCGTAAGTGCTGGTCGACATTCACTCACTCACTCACTCACTCTAAATCTGCTATGAATGGAATCGCCCACTCACTGGCCTTGAGCCTGCCTTCAGGTATATCCAGCTGCCAGTCAACCTGAGGACTGTGGACGTGGTTTTCATCGACAATGGGTCCAACTGCCTGCCTGAGAGGGTGATACGCAATTTCTTCAGTGACAGCTGTCAAACGCAGTGGTGTAGCTGCACGTGTGAGAAAGAATCCCAGCATACCTGCCGTGCGAGTGATTATCCTAGCCCCCCATGCATGGGCATTCATCCAAGGCAACAACTTGTTCCGGGGACGACCGCTGTCGAATCATGCGGATGGATATACCTCCACATCAGCCCGGAATTTTTTTGATTGAATGAGACTTTCTTGGTACTTTCAATTCATGGCTTGAAATACCAATTACCAATTATTCAAGTCGTGTTCGTCAGAATGGACATACGTTGCCCGAACATTGAATATCATTTAATGGTTTTGTAGTTTTCCGAAAACCCATTTGTTTGCTCGTACGTACATTCGTGCAACATGGCATTTTTATTGAAGCATGTTCAGAACAGGAATATGTGCCAGTATCATCGGGCCAAATCCAATGCGGCAAGAGAAGGCAAGCAGTTGCGAAGTTGCCAGTCGTGCCGTGAAATATGTTGTTGCGTTCACACCGTATCACATGCTGGTATTGGCTCGATGTCAGCCTTTGCAGATTGCCGGAAGGCCGCCAAATACATGAGAGCGTCGAATCGACAACCTGCACATCTTTGCAAGACATGCAACGTTGAGCATTTAATCTTGAACAATTTTGCGAGTACTTTCAGAGCAGATCTTCCCACCATCGCTTGGAGGGCTTCGCCAACGCAGCAGCAGAATCTGCTGCTTCACGTTTTGTGCAGGTACCAACATGTCGGTGTGCGTGATGAAATGGTTTCGTTGCTGGCAGCGGGTTGCATAGATGGTTGTATGACCCCAAGTCGGTCACTTGGGCCTTTGTGTCTGGATTGTTTGTTTTTGTTTTCGCATGCATAGTTCATTAATGGTGCGCATGAGCGTTGCCTTCTTGGCGAGAGCTTTGTCTACACGTCTGAAAACATGTAAAGTGAGTTTGACTTCCAAAGTATGCGAGTTGCAATTTCTTACTCGACAAGGTGCTGGTCCAGCCAACCGTTCACTTCACATCGATGGCAACCAGGCTTTTGCTTTCATTTTGTCAATCCGGCTTAGCATGCTGTTGCTGCGGCTCACCGCCAACATGGCTTGGAAGGAGCACTGCGTGCCCTGATGTGCCAGGAGCTTCACATCGAGATCGGTGCTCCTTCCAGCGGTCACCGCATCAAATTAAAAGATGAGATTGATGCTTCAAATGATTTTTGCATGGTACCACAGTGAGCCAGGTCCTACTCGGTATCTTTCTCTATGGTGCCGTCCCTCAGCAGGCCGTGCAATTGAGCTTCCAGTAGCTAGGCATCACAATGCTGACGAATTCTTGAAATTTATGTTTTGCCTTCAACGGACCTTGCTCGTTTGCTGTTCCGGCAAACAAGCAGTGAGAATTGCAGGCCGCTTTCTTTCTTCCTGGGACATGGCGTTGGAAGCCGAGCAGTTTTACATTTACCCGGTTTTACAGCAGTTTATTGGTTCGTCGCATGTGTCAAGATTGTTTGTCGTGAGAGTTTATTATCAAGTTCAGCGGATTCAGCAGCTATCAAGAATGAAGTTGAACTAAGGTTCTTGTCTTACATAATTCCTGAGTCATGCAGTTCTGCGGTGCAAAGCTGTTTAGGGGATGATAGGGAGGGAAGCAGGGCGCTAATGCTTGTGTAGGTACTTGCTTATGACCCCCAAGCAGTTTGGTGTGGCAGACATGCCACGAGGTCCCAGGCCGTGGTGTGCAATTTCAGAACAGGAGGCCGTTTTGATGCATGTTTGGATTGGCTTAGCAGCGGGTTTGGGTGGATTAAAATGCGGGCCCGCATGGCAGTTTTCAGCATCATTGGCTGGTGTCTTGAGGTTCTGCAGAGCTGCAGAACATGGACGACGCAGCTAGCTCCTCTGACCTTGACCCGGAGCTGCTTTCCACAATGGTGAGATCAGGCTTAAGTTGACCAATCCATCAAGACGTCTATGTGTTTGTTGACATGACCACGGGAAAGCGTTGCGGTGGGATGTGCTCAGCTGATTGCTCCTGTTCCTGAATTTGCTCGAAAATGGATTGCAGCTGGCAAGCAAGCAGGAGCCGCCCCCCATGGCCTCAGGGCAGACATATCTGTTTTGCGGCTTAAGGCCCCCTCGCGTCGTGGGTTATTGGTTGGGGCAGCCTTGGCCGCCTCATCCTTGGGAGCCGAATCCATTTGCAGTAATTCTCTTTTCTAAAGCCACAATGTGCTGTTTGTCGTGGTAAGTTTTATCATGATAAGTCCAGAATGTCTGGAATCCTTTCACACATGCTTTGCTCATGCTTTCCTTGAGGTGTCCTGCTGTTCCAACATTGGCATTTTCTGAAAAGCTTGTTGCTAAGGCGGCAGTTCCAGAGCAAGAAGCCCGTGCCCTCATGGCCGAGGCTTCTTCCAGCCTTTTTCCCTGAAAATTGTTTTGTTAGGGGTTATGTACAGCGAAGGAGCTTCGGGCAGCCAACCTCTTCCTCACTGCTTCACCCAGTGCAGGGGACTCGGGAATTGTTGTATCTGTTGCAAAATGGTTGCTGAAATGCAGGGCCTGGCGGATGACAAGGGTGCCGATTTAAGTAAGCAAAGTTCAAACATGAAAAAGGTTACAGAATCACACGAGGCATGTTTTGGATGTTTCGTTAGGATGTGCGCATGGCTTGGGCCCAACACTCTTGCTGAAGCACACATAATCAGGTTAAGCAGCAGATCATGCAGGAGTCTTACTTGGCTAAGGTTCTCAGCGTATCCGAAGGCAAAAAGAACGCTCGAGCCCTGGTTGGAGCTTACGACTTCATTATTCCGCTGGCACAGTGGTACGTTTCAGCACTTTGATTTAATGTGGATTTTCTGAGGCTCGATTTAGGATGATTTTTGGTGCAATTCTTTCTGTCGTCACGTGCCACCACTGGCGGTTCTTCCCTCTGTTGCTGGAAGCTTTGAATGATGTGTGCGAGCCCTCATCTAGAACCATGATTCTTAATCGTCTCCCAACATCTGAGCGAACTCTTCGTGCAGCCAATTGTGCTCGATGGTGAGGCACCAGGTCCTACTGGCACGGGCTTTGTTTGGGATGCTTCTCATGCCCGAGTCCCAGCTGTCCCAGTTGTCCCAGCTAGCGCGTTTCCCTCGGTGTGGCGGCCCTGACGCACAGAGGTAGTCACCAACTTTCATGTCGTGCAAGAGCTGAAGAGCCCCCACGTCACCTTTCTCCGGAAGGATTGAATCGGGCAGGAAGTATTTTTTCCAAGCTGATTTACTGTTTTCGGCCCTTTAGCTGTGAGGGAACAGGTATTTGTTGTGTCCAGGATGAGTCCGGGACCGAAGACCATGTCACGGTTGGTATCCGGCTCGGGCTCGCATCGACCAGGAAACTTGCGTTTTGAGGTCCGCGAGGGATGATCATGGCAAAGCATGCTGATGTTTATCATGTTTTGCTTGAGTGTTCCAAACAGAGGAGAGTCAGCCCTCATTGCTGCCCTTGGCTGGATCCTTTTGGCTCAATTTGACTGGCTGATTCAAGACGAGCCAAGGCATGTGGTATCAGTGCCCCACGTGCCAGGTTTTGCGGCACCTTTGTATTCTGCCTGCAAGTCTGTGTTAGCGGTATGTAGTCCCTTGTCAAAGTCCTAGGCATTTTGTGGCCATGATTCCAAGACAGCTGAAATTTCAGTCCAGGCAGCGCATATGCGTTCTGCCATGTGTGGTTCTTAGAGCTATGTTGCTTCTCTTGCGATATCTTTCGCTTGCTGCACTCTGCTGCGCAGCATCAGCATTCGAAGCTCGGCCAACTAGGCTCCGTGTCAAGGTTGAGGGTACAGATGTTAGTGGTGTCAGTGTTGTTGCGTGCACATGGCCCTTCGTCATAGTTTTTGGCCATTGCAGAATGTGCTGTTTCGAGTGCTCTCCGTTTGTTAAACCGCTGCAGCTGAATGGGGTGGAGTGTCGGAGGCAGGACTCAATCCCTGAGTTTTCCCGATCGCTGCAGTGAGTGATAAAGAGCTACACCAGGACAGGTGATTGGGCCGTTCAGAGTATGCACTGCAGACCTCTGCTACGCAACCATTGTGATTTCTGATGTTTTCACTCTTGAGCCATGTGAAAGGCAGATTCAACACATCCATTCCATACTGGGATGAGGCGAATGCATGAGTTTTCCATGCACTAGTGTTTGTGCTTGCCGCTATCTCGGGGCTGTGAAAGTCAAGCTAGGATAGCTACGTTCTTGGACGCGTGGCGAGCCAGCACAAGTTAGATCACAGAGCTCAGGCGAGTGAGACCTCGGAGCTGCTGACGCAGGATGATGCTTGCTCAGTACATGCATGCCGGTTGCAGCATCTTCCTCCAGCGCGCCTAACTTCTTGACATCTTTCAAGCTCTTGATTGAGTATGGCGGCAGAGATGCATATCAAGGCCTTCCGCTCCACATCCACCAGAGCCCATTACAGTGTCTAGTTGTCAGAATCACGGGGTGGCAGGCTTAATGCCATTTTTGAGGTGATGGTTTCGTGCGTTGCCCTCAAGGTCATGAGGCAGTAGTACAGACACATTGGTGAAGTGAACTGGGTAAATTGTGCTGATACGCAATTGCAGAGCGATCACCTACACACCTTTTCGTCATGACAAGTTAATCAGTACGCAACAGCTGTGCTGTCCCACGTAGCAAAAGGAGCAGTATCGCTGGTGTTGGTTATGAGAGCCATGCTAGAATCAACCTCTGATCATATCACTCGTACTCTGTAACAGCAGTATGAAGTGTGGAGCCAGCCGAGGCATCTTCTGAGACTTGTAGCGTCCTGGCTGAATTTGCTGAACTGGTGCGTGAAAGAAGTTCATACGGAAATCATAGAAGCAGAGCATAATCGTACAAGAGAAGGAAGGGGGGCTGGGATTGAATGCTTCCGCGGAACTATTGGCCGAGGGGAATTGACAGGAACAAGGGAATCGGGCTGTTTGACCCGCAAGGCGTTGGGGTTGGAGCTTTGTGGAATTCATGTATGAAATCAACATGGTTGGTAGGGAAGAAGATGCTCGTTCTCGCTTGCTTGCAGGGGAGGCGCCTGCCATTCTCACCTGACCCCTGGGATGAGGCGATGTGCTGCGCAACTGCGATGTACCTGCACTACCTGCACATGCTCCTGCACGGTTGGATAGTCTGCGTGCACAAGCGGATGTTCTTTTTCGAGGATTCAGCGTGCATACAGTTCGTCTCATGTGTCAGCAGCTTCAGTGCAACGCGGTCCCAGCTCTGGGCAGTCGCTGTATACTTGCCGTGCTCGCCCGCAACTCACTGGTCAGGGGATCCGGCGTGGCCGTCGCTTGGTCAGGGGGTCAGAGGTTCCTGCTCCGTGGAAGGATGTAGCAGCGGGCAGAACAGCACAGCTGACTTGCTTTTCAAGCTGCTCACATCATGACGCATCATCTCTTTTCATGCCTAGATTGCTGGTGGCAACTGGTCAAGCTACACCAAGTGGGCCAATGATGATGGCAAGAGAAGCTCTGTTGAAGCTCCATATAGTTAGGCAAAGCGTGCGGTGGATTTGCCAGAGATCAGGTTTATTTGTGTGTATTAGTTTCTTTCACTGGTGTGTGAGCCGGAATCTGGATGGTTCAACAGAGCAGGGATGCTGGTGGACGGGCATGCCTGTGAAGCGGTCTTGGCCAAGTGGTGTGCGTAGCTGGACAAGCAAGGTATCGCGAAGAGGTTACGTTTATCATGTTTTATGCCGACCACTGTTCACAGGGGCCGCCTGCTTTGGCGTAGCCATGCAGGCTGCTTCATCTACATGTGGAGGCCATCGTGACAACGACCTCGGCTTTCTACCGCGTGGTTTGCATGGCGGTTTCACTTTCGACTTTGTTTTGTAGACTTGGGTCCTTACCTCCAACTGTTCCGCACACAGCGCCCGATCGCCCATGGTCCAATGCGTTGAACTCAGTGGACAGTCGATCAGCATTCGTGGCTGTTCCGAGCTTCGCTCAATCACTCAACCCGTCACTCTTTGATTCATTGGATGCATCTCCCAGGTGATTGATTGCATGCGTGAAGCTCACTGAGCACGGGCTTGCTCATGACAGCGAGTCTCCATTTACAGTCACTTGCAAACTTCTGCTCAATCTCTTGCTTAATTTTCTCTGATTCATTTGCTCGCGCGCTTTTTGCTTGCGTGCTGCACTTACAAACTCCAAACGACCCCCGGACTCGCACATTGAACTGACTCCTTCTGCGCGCCCCCTCCGACACTAATTTGTGGTCCGCCACCCGCTCATTCATTGGCGCACTTGCTAACTAATGCAGTCAATGACTCACTCCACCTGCCCTTCAGTCCCTCACAAGTAGTTCCCACTATGCCAGCCCCTGCCCCTCAAATCTCTCAAACGGCTCCGTGGCGCGGATCCATTTCTCTCGAACATGTGCGCAGTTGCGTTGGACTTTTCTGAGGTGCCTCTTGGCGACAGCTTCGTGCCACAAAGCTGGCAGGGAGCAGGTCTGTGGCCCAGGCACTCCTGGGATGCAATATCCCGGCTGTGGTATTGTTGACGGCAATCAACAAAACTGTGCAAGCACTACCTTCCTCCATCCTTGTGAAGTTACGCGAGTGATTGCACTGTGCCTAGAACTGCGAAAATTGCTGAGCAGGAACTGTGCTGTCCCAATCTGTTTGGCACTAAGGCCTGCAACACCCGCTGCCGAGCGCTATCTTCAGCTCGCACTTCGGGTTGGGTAAAGTCCTGCAGATTGAGGTTCGAACTGGCCCCTAGAGCTCTGATTCAGGCTGGCCTGACTGTCCTAAGAGTCTCAACTCCGAACCCAATGCAAATCATCGGGGATGCTGAGAAACGCTTGTCTTTGACAAAGGATGTATGGGATGTTGTGGAATGAGCCATGTCGTGCATTCGTGCTTTGCGTGCAATACTAGTTTGAAGAACAAACCAAGTTGTATGTTGACTAGATGGCTGTGTGGGGCTGAAGGCAGGCTGGTTGTGTCCGTGGTATTCCGGTGTTGAGGTAGACACGTTCTTGGAGAACCAGCCGCGCCAGTCGTTCTTGAAGCAGCTTGGATTCTTATGAGATACATCGTCTTTAGCCATAGGACGGGCGACACCTGCACTTGCCGCATCCATAAGGAATGGCGGGGGCTTGCTCCAGACTTTCGGTGCTTCCCTGGGCGGTGGTGACTGCGGCGACCTCTGCGCTCTGCCCGAGACCAGCCAAGCAATATGTGCGGATGGCTTTTGCGCATGTTTGCACCGTTGAAAGTGCGATACCTTGCATCTGCGGTCGTTGAGCTGTAGCAAGAGCTGCGACGAACCGTTCTTGTTGTTGTAGCCGTTCTTTATCTTAACACGCTAGAGCCTTCCAGCCCAAAGCCTTCAATTGTAAGGCCCCATGCCCCGAGTTTGGTGTTTCCAAGCGCTGCCGCTACGACGCTGCTGGACGGCAGCCAAATTTGGGTTTTGATCCCTTTTCGAGAATCTGCGGAAGGAAATGGTTGGCAAGCAGAAAATTCCAGGGTACCTTGAGCAAATTTCTGATTCAGCAACAATGCACAAATTCATGAGGTCTACGACAACGCTGTGGCCGTTCGAAGCTTAGTCTTTGGAATTGGGACTGCACAACTGCCAGGCATCTGACACTAGCTGGTCCGTCTTCCTTGATTGTGAGTGTTGCTAGGCCATCTACCTGGCCAAACGGGGCAAGCTTCAGGCTGCGCAGCGGATTCTCGACGCATTCCTGCACTTGCTACTCGTTCGCCTGCTTCATTGGGCCCCTGCGCTTTTTCAAACGGGGCCCAGGACCCTCCCCAAACAGAATTTGAGGAATTCACTGTAGTGAAATTGCAAAACTGTTGTGAGCAGGATGCCTCCGCTCCAATGCGGGTATCAGTATTCAACTGTTTTCTTTCAACAGGGTTTGCTTGATTGTGTGGCGTGTTGAGAGAGCCGAGGCTCTATCCCACGCAGAAGATTCCCCACCTCTCCTTCGGCGACCGTGATGGTCTACCCTCAGGCAATGCCCGTCTTGGAGGAACGCACAGATGCGGCCATCGAGCAAGCATAACGAGCACGTGTTGATGACTTCAGAATTTTGTCCATGGTCTGCCACTTGGGGAATTGGAAAGCGGAAGTTGCACTGATGCATCAGACTTATAGGCCGATGGCTTACTCTCATCGGCTCCTCGTACTCAAAGAACGAGGCACGAGTCAAAGGTATTCGGGGGTGTGATAGGAAGTTTTCAACTTTGGCAGGGGCCCCATGTCAGGTGTTTGCTCATAGCAAATGGTCGCAAGCAGCTGCTGGACATCATTTTGCGATGTTTCGCATTCGTTCGTCTTGGAAT